CTGATGATACAAACATTTTTTTSTCAGGTGATACCTCGCCATTACTGGAACATAGGATTAATACAGAGGTTAAAAATCAACAATAATAAATTATTAAATTTGAGCTAAACAAAACACATTTTTGGGCACAGTAGAGCTAAACGAGAATTACAAGTTCATTTAGAGTTGTTTTGAGTCGAAAGGGTGACTGAAATTAATTTTCTCAGAGTAATTATTTATGAACAAATATGCTGGAAATCTCTCAGACATGTACAAGCCCAAGCGTCGGGAGACTTCAATATTAAATAAAGCAAAACAGGTTCTGAATTACAAGTCACTTCACACTTTACACTGTTACACAGTTCTTCAATACTTAAATAATTTACATTTTATAATTTACCTAATTTCCCTCTGGGATCAATAAAGCTTCTTTTAATTGAATTGAATTGAATTGAAATACCTGTGCAGTGATTTGGGGCAATGATTAAAGTGTAATATATATTCATTATTCATTCTGCAAAAAAAAGCAATAAGGATAATACATGGGGCTAGATAGGGACCACACCAATTCACTATTTTTGTTGTCAAATGTASTCATACTTACAGATCTTGTAGAGGTACAAATAATAATCAAATTTAAAGCAAAAAACTAATTATAACCAGGTAATATTGAGAAATTATTCATTGAAAAGGAGGGGAGTTTTTATTTAAGGGGACAGTTTAACTTTAAATCAAAGATTGTTCATGCTCGTCACTAGATAATCATAGCTCTGCTATCAAACTCTAAAAATGGCCGAATGGGGTGGAGAGGACAAAGATCACTGGCAGTGAGACCTGGAGGGGGGTAGGGTGTACAATGCCTTATTTGCATTTAAAGAGACAGCATCAAAATGAGTTGCTCTCACCTCAGAACAGGGGCGAAAGAGGGGCTTGTGGAGCTACAATAAGGAGGAATTCAGAAGCATTGTAGTTCCACAACTGAATGATTTAAATGTTAAAAGGAAAGATTTAACAGCATATGTCTCCTTTAAAGAAAAAAAAAGAGAGTAAACTTTTTATTCAATTCTCCACAGAAAGCTTTAAAAAGTCCAAAGCCTAATTCTATGTGCTAACCAGATCATTGTGTTTTTTATAAAATTATTCCCTTGCCTCTTGCTGTGTAATCACCCCCTCTTGTTTGACCTTGAATGAAAGAACAGCATCCTCRTGTTTCAGAACTTGGTGAACTTGGCTTTCGACAAAACACCAGTGTTTTGCCTCATGAATAGAGCCTGAAGTGTGACAGCAGAGCATGAATGATGTACAATAGATTAGGATGAGATCCAAATGTGTCTCTTTTTACTTCACAGAGGGAGAAATTCATCAGGATGGRAAGGAAGCAGTGAAGAGAGGCTACCAGCTGGCTCGAGCTCTGCCTGCTCCGTCGCTCCAGTGGACAACTTTATTGATTCGAGCCCCTTCTTTTTCAAAATGAGCACACGAGTCACTAGTTACTGTGCAGAAACGGGGCTAAGGTAACGGATGAAAATTAAAAACAAGGCTGTACTTTCAAAACTGACACACTGAYAGAGCCGCTCACACAGCTGCGCCTACCTTTCACTTCCATTTAAAGCAAGCAAATACCAATGCTGYTCTTCTTTAATGTCAGCTAAATGTTTTGTTTATTCAGGTTTAATGGTTGCACAGCACTTTGAATGCTAAACAGCCGCAATAAAACACGGGATCGTTCATGAGCGAGGTGCTCGTAAAGCAAGAAAAGTCTTGCTCTTCCAGTCAAGGCTGTCTGTAGCTCAAACAGCATATAAAAGATTATGAAATATTTATCACAATAAACAAATGGAGTCACAGATGACTAATGCATGCATATAAAACTAGGCTAAAAATAAGTTCTGAAATGAAATACCGCATACATTTCTCAGAACTGCTGCGCTAGAGAATTCATTGCTGGAGATATTTCTTTGCTATAGCTCACCAAACCATGAATAATAAATTCATCCAGACAACTAAAAACATATGGTTTCTCAGGTATTGTAAAGCTCTTCAACTTATCAAACTGAAAAAAGAAGGCATTTTCAACGTTTTTGGACCAATTTACAACACATTAATATGAAAGGCTTGGTATAGGCTGTTAAGTGTAAAATAAGATGTTGCAAAATGTCACTAAGACATTTTCATATTTTAACTCACTTTGAGTGCAAAATCCTTGTAAAAAAAATCCACTTATATTTTATTATTATTATTTAGTTCACTTTTCTTACATTTGGCTATTTTTTCCTAAATGATACATTAGTTAAATGTTATACATAAATTAGCCTGGCCCTTGCCTTCCTACGCAGCTCAGCTCAATTCTAGTTTCCCTTCACTGCTCTGTCTGGGACTTCTCCCACAGAGATGGATTTCACTGGCAGACTTTTAGCCGGGCCAATCAGAGAACAGAATGTTGATTTTCTGTGCAGTGTCTGCTTGTAGTTTATTTTACCTGGACCAATCAGCAAACAGAAGGCGGAGTTTTGAACAACGTTGATTTTCTGCACAGTGTCTGCTAGTTAGTTTAGCAA